CAGGGAGACAAAAGCCCCCCCAGTGTATGGGGTGAGGACTGAGACCCCCCCTGTGACACCCCAGAGGTGACATCGCAGGGGGCTGAACCCCCCCAGTTCACCCCCACACCCCCGGGGGCCCCAGCCCAGCCCCCAGCATGGGGAGGGGGGGTCCGTGCCTGCACCCCCTGAGCTGCAGGAATGGGATTTCAGGGGGGCCCGGGACCCCCAGCACCAGTTGTACCCCAGCAGGATGCAGGGGGGCTGCAGTGAGGGGGTTTCAGTGGGTGGGGGGGGGCTCAGGGGGGGGGGGGGGGGGGCTGGGACCCCCCAGACCCAACTGTCCCCCAGTGATGCAGTGATGGGGGTCAGCAGGCCCAGCACCCCCAGCACCGGCTGTACCCCAGCATGGGGGGGCTGCAGGGATGGGGGTTCAGGGGGTCAGGGGGGATCCCCAGAGCTGGCTGTACCCCATGGCAGTGCAGGGGGGCTGCAGGGACGGGGTCCCAACGGGTCAGGGGGGATCCCCAGAGCTGGCTCTACCCCATGGGGGTGCAGGGGGGCTGCAGGGATGGGGGCTCAGCGGGTGGGAGGCCGGGACCCCCAGCACCAGCCGCCCCATAACACGGCACAGGGATGCTCCGATGACGAGGAGGGGGCTGGCGTGGGGGGTCACGGGGGGCACGGCAACCCCCCCGCCCCACACCCGCCCCCCGTCAGCCGAAGTAGGGGTTGTCGTGCTGGAAGTTGTAGTCGGGGCAGACCTTCTGGACCAGCTTGTAGTCGATGCTGAGGAAGGAGATGAAGATGCAGATGACCTTGAAGGGCTTGGCGCAGAGCCAGGCCGCGTGGCTCTGCGTGTGCTCCGTGAAGCAGACCTTGGACGGGTCGTACAGGCAGGGCCTGTTCTTGCGCGCCCGGTTCGTCTTCTCGTACTCCACGTGGCAGTTGAGCAGCGCCTTGGCCGGGCGCCCCTCGGGCAGGGTGCTCTGCTGGGGGGGCGGCGGCGGCTGCGGGAGCTGGGGGGGGACGCCGGGCACCAGCACCTCGAAGCCCACGGCCTTGGAGGGGGGCACGATGCTGACGGAGACGTTGCCCAGGCTGGAGGAGTTGTGTCGGAAGTAGACGCTGAAGGTGCCGTTGATGTGGTCGACGATCTTGCCCGTCACCAGGAGGCTGAACTTGAGCGTCTTGATGTTGAAGTAGAAGTCCCCCCAGCCGAAAATCTTCTTGGCGCGGCCGGACTTGAGGGCGGGCTTGCGGTGGGCGCGGGGGCTCGGAGGGTCCCCCCCGCCCGTCTGGTTCTTCTGCCAGTCCCAGGGGCTCTGGCCGGGCGTCCCCGCGCCCCGGGGGGGCTCGGCCGGGATCAGCCGCCCGGGGTCGAGCGCCGGGGGCTTCAGGGTGCCATAGGGGACGTCCTTGAGGAGGCCGGAGGTGCCCAGCTCCAGGTAGCCCAGGGTCTTGGCGAGGTGACCCCCGGCACACACCGTCTGTGGGAGAGAGGGCGGAGACTGCACGAGCCGTGCCTGTGTCCTCCTCCTCATCCTCCCGCCCGTGTCCTCCTCATCCTCCTGCCAGCAGCCCCCTCCTCACCATCCTGCCCCTCCTCACCCTCCTGCCCCTCCTCATCCTCCTCATGCTCCCACCTGTGTCCTCACCATCCTCCTGCCAGCACCCCCCTCCTCGCCCTCCTGCCCATGCCCTTCCTCACCCTCCTGCCCCTCCTCACCCTCCTGCCCATGCCCCTCCTCATCCTCCTGCCC